GAACCCGTGTCCCCTGCATCGGCAGGCGGACTCTCAACCACTGCGCCACCAGGGAAGCCCCCACTTACCATATTTTATGACCACATTTTTGGCAGTTGTATTTCAAACTTAGAAAGAACTATAATCCCATAAGTAATCAAAGTCACACCCTTAATATATTACATAATTGAGTTTTTTACTCCTTTCTCCAAAATTAGAGTCTACTCATTTACTTTTTCTCATACTTGTCTCCATGGCAGACAAATACCCAAACAGAAAGTCTAGGATTGATAAGAATGAACCATGAATTTCTAAACAAGACCTGTGTCAAAGTCAACACATTCACAATTTCAAGTTTTAATATATATTATTTGTTTACAAAAAGATAAATGTATACCTTCATCATATCATAGCAATATTGCAAAGAAACCCTTTTATCAAGCAAACTTTCAATTCTTATTTTCCAATTCTAGTTTAATTTACTACTAGATAGCTTTCAGAGACATTGAGAGAACAGGTACAAGTAAATATCTGTGCAAAGCACAGGTCTGAATTATGAAAGAAATTAGCTTGGTTTATGTAAAGCAGCTAAGTACCAAGTAAAAAGTAATCCCAACCAAAACATTCAGCACAATTTTTATTTCTGGCAACTTTAGATCCTGGTTAGAAAATCCATCATCCCAGCTATGACATTAAATGGTGAAAATTTATTGAGCTATAATATACTGATAGATTTAGAAGCCCTTTTTCTCAAGCTAAAACTACTGTTGTGGTTCACACCACAGTGTGAGAGCCTTGAATTAGATCAATGATTCTCAAGTAGAAGCCCATCATAAACCATATCATCCAGGGAAATTTTTTTTCCTTCAAAATATATCTGCCTCCCTTCATATTCCCCCTACCACTAAGACTCTGCAGGGAAGTGGAGATGATATAACAGATATGCATGTGCGCCTTTTTTATTTTAACTCCTAGATTATTCTGATATACATGGAACTCTCTCAGAGTTACTCACTTTTATGGAGAATGCCTGAATTAGGTCCAACTCTATTTTTTAACATTGTATCAACAGCAGGCAAAAGGAGCAGAGCTACATAGTGATAAGAGCACAGCAGAAAGCTCTGCAGGTAAGGGGCTGTACTAATAGCAGCCGTAATCTTTCTGTGCCAGCTCCCTCCAGAATCCATTATATATTTTAGACAATGACAAATGTTCAGTTCATCATCCTGAGAAAAGCACACTGTCTACCAGTCAGATAAAAATGTAAAAAGAAGCTATTTGGGACATCAAAAAAACTAAGCCACAGAAAAAGAAAGACAAGAATTCCTCTATTCTTTAAAAGAACATAACAAAGCATTAAAAGAAAAATAACAAAGTATTATTTTGTGCAGCTGTTAATTTGTTTGGAGGCTTTCTGCCCATGTTTTATCATTTTAGTTTTTCATTATGTAGCATTGATTTTTCTATTACAAAATTCAGTCAAGCTGAAAATCTTAACCATTCTAGAACCTAATAAACTACAATAAGATGACAAAACTGTATTAAAAAACAATCAAACAATCTTAAATCCATATCGCATGTCGAGATAGCTTAAGAGTTGGATTAAAAAACAAGCTTTCAAAGCCCATTTTAGGGCAAACAATTATACTTCTTTACAGTCATTGTTTCAAATTCCTTATAAACAATATTGAAATGTATCAGAAAAGAGAATTTCCAATGATGTATAAATAATCAGCCAATTATTGTTATATTCTAATTTGGACTAGCATTCCTTAAATCACTTGGTAATTTCCTACTCGATGTTCAACTTTATTGCATTCTACAAGGCCACCTACTGGCCATTCAAAATCAGCCATTAGTTCTCTAAGACAACTCTAGTAGGCTGGTTACATAATAAGAAGAAACACATACATACATACACACACAGAGACACATATGCCCTGCATGAAAGCAGAGATTTGTTCACAGGTACTCACACTACAGAACTGCACCTAAAACAGAAGCAGAACTGTTCTTTGGACTGAGAGTATTCTTGCCAAAGGATAAAATGACAAAGAATGAAACACCAAGTATCAAAATTTTTATCTGAAACACTGATAAATATCTCAGTATGCTAAACATTTCAGAACAAACTCTAATGATCCAGCTCTCTTTACCAAATGACATATAGAAAAAAATTTTTTTTTCAATTTAGTTTCTGGGATACACTAATATAAATTATCAATAATAGAAAAAAATCACATTTTAGAAAGTTTTTCTGACATGCAGTATTAAAGTAAGCTCAGGAAAATGATACACTTGCTAATAAATACTACATGAGTCTTTATCTTCTAAGCTAAAGGCAACATTTCAATCAGCTCACATTTTAGAAATTTATAACACTTCCTTTAAAACTGCTTTCCAATGAGCTATAAAATCAAGTTTTTAATGTAGTCTGTCATTCCATAATACACACTGAATGGAATTCTTATTTTAATTCTGTATTTCATTGTGCAAATAATGAATTATAAAAACTTAGAAAAAACATGATAATCTACAATTAATTATGTCTGTAAATACATTTTACCTCTACCAGAGAGGTTCAAAGAACATACTTTTTAAATCTAAGAAATAAATAATTCAAACTGGTTTCTCAGACGCATAGAGCAAATTACTTAAAACGACGACTCTCCCCCCACCAAAATCAGACCACCACCTAATTTTCAGTCTCTAACATCCACAATATTTAGGGGGTAAACAAATCTACCAACTAATTTTCTAGTCATTTTCCAACTTGCACTTACCTCTTACTATAGATTTTTGAGGGTCTCCACTTTCCTGAAGATTAAAAGAAAAAAAAAAAAGATTTGTAGTCAGCCTTGACCCTCAAAACAAATTCACGAACTACAAAACGTGAACCTGGCCACGCTCATCTCAGACTAACACATCTCTTAACCCAAGTCCATATTTGGGATAAGCTCTTCGTGACTACTCTATCCTTCATGCTGCTTCGCCCACAGAGCCTGCCAGGGTACAAAACAGTCTAACAAACGAAAAAACTATCCTCACACATCAAGAGGTTGCAAGACCTCCGCTTCCAGGAGGGGCAACCTGGTTGTTTGGGTAAATAACGGCCAAGGATTACATAATATACAGCTACTAAGACTTCCAAGGATCTGGCCGCCAATAAATATCTTTCTTCTCCACTTCCTCCGTTCCCACCCTGAAAAACGGCCCTAAGAAGAAGCAAGCCCTAGGATTTCTCTCAGGTGCCTGCAATGCCGTGCGTCCTCTTTTCTCTCGGAGCTCCGTGCAAGGAATTCTTCCAGCCCTCACTACGCTGTCTTGCTCCGGCCTCTCGCCCGTCTCCTGCCGGCGCCACCGCAGCCCCCCACGCCTGAGGCCCCTACGTCGCCCCGCAGGGCTCAGCCTCCACCCGCCTCGGCTGCCTTCTCCTCACGACCCTCCCAAGCTGCTAGCTGGTCCCCTAAAGGTTCCGAAACCACCAACACCCAACACTCCGGCTACCGCCTTCTCAGACCACCCTCGGCAGATCCCCTCTATAGTTCCTGTAGCCGGAGAAGAAGAAAATGCCTCCTATCTGGCACTCCGCGTCCCCCAGAGACAGCGCCGCCGCCTACCTGTCACCCCTCTGCCTCCAGCTTCTTACCTCCACCGCCTCCCGCAGCAGCCGGCCAACTGCAGCGCAACAACCGGCCCTCCCATTGGGTGATTCCACGCTCCAACAACAGCACCGCTGATTGGCAGCAGTATGCCCGCGGCCCTCCCCCTGTGCAGAGTCTAAAGATTCCGGTCTCGAGGAAGGACCACGTCGCTTCTTCCCCGCCCTCTGTCCTCCACAGTTTCTCTTACTTCGGTCAGACTCCGGATGCATAGATGTGCGGGGAAAATGTTCACTTCCATCCTCCTTCATGTCACCTCCACCTGGTCCAGGAATCTGTGACCCAGGACCAGAATGTTAAATTTCTCCTCTGCTTCCCTGCCGTAAGGTACTCGAGGTGACAACTTCCGTTTCCGGTTGCCTCCGGCTGGTGGGTTGAATCTTGAGTGTCCTGAGAGGTCAGATTGCTGTCAGGTAAATAGGGGAGCTGGTGGTAGATCTCTTGATCGGGAATGAGAATGAGACTGTACTCCGGGGATTGTCGGAAAGGAGAGACTCAATAGAGAAGGGTGATGAGAATGAGTAGCTCAAGAGGGAAGGAGATCGAAGAACTAGCAGGAGAGAACTATGAAGTCCTGGGGTAGTGAGGGGCGGTTGTAGAAGGATGCTGTGAGGATCACTGTGGTTGTTAAGTCCAGATGCTTTTTTTCCTTCTGTGTCACCCGCAACACCCCCGACCCCTGTTTTTTGGTTTATCTTTGAGTCGAATGAAGGCACAACCGCACTCAAATCGAAAATTTGTAAAATAGGAATACTTGTAATGCCTGCCTCACGAGCATTTATAGTACAGTTTTAAATAAGATTTTTCTGGTATGAAAGTTTATGACACAATGTTAAAAGGGTACAAAATCACATCAGTTTTTAGTGTGATTACTATTAAATTGCATATACACGGATACAGGGACTGGAAGGGACACTAAAGGGGAAAACAGTTAATTTGTCTTATTTTCTAATGTTCTTATGGTACAATTTTTAAATGAGGAGAAATTGGAATATATACTTCAAAGTCTTAGGTAAACTGTGAAATTACATATAGTGTAAGCGGCATTACCCTTTTATTTCCTTCTCAGGGAAAGTATGCCAACACTGTTCCTGTACTAGAGCCAGCTCCCATTAGTGGAGGTTGATATCCAACAAACTTGTAGGTTCACTCCAAACATACGTAGATAGAAGGAGGTGGAAAAAAATTCATGATTACATGCTTTTTCCTTTTTGAACTTATTTCCTTGCTGTTCTTGTTTGAAAAACTCTGAAAGGGAAATGATCACCTCTTGTTGAGTCCTTGGCACGATTTAAGTCACTTTATCTAATTTTAGTTTTTATTGTGAAGTATACATAACAGAAGGCTGTATAAAACATAAGTACATTTTTAAGAACTATAATTAAGCAAACACTTGATCACCACCCCTCAGGTTAGGAAATAAAGCATTGCCAAAAACTTAAATATGCATTCTTAGCAGAGGTGATTGCCTTTTAAGGAGGTAAAAAATGGTTCTTGTTGGGTGGGGGTGAGAGGGCAAAAAAACCCTTAGATAATACAATAGTTTGTGGCGCTCCAAAGAGCCATAGTACATAAACTGTGGTATTAAATTTTCATGTGGAGGGGTAGGGTGAGAACATGATTAGGGGGAAAAAAGAGTCTTAAGAAAGCACCTTTGGGGTACAGTAATTACAATACGTTGAAAAACACTGCCTTAGAAGCTCCCTGAATGAGCTTCTGTGATTCCATCTCCTCCAGCAAGAGGTAACCAGCATCCTAACTTGTAATAATCATTTACTTGTTTCACTTAAATTTTTTTCCTAGAAAATGAATTGTTAGGTTTTTCCATTTATATAAATGGGATTCAAAGTGTGTATTTTTTTTCTGACTCACCCCTTGCTCATTCTTATATTTGTGAAATTCATTCATACTTTTGCATGTTGTTTTTCATTGTGTAATATTCCATAATTAATCCATTCCATAGTTGGACATTTGAGTTGTTTACAGTTTGGGGCTAGCATAAATAATATGGCTAAAAAAAAATTTTTTTTTTTTTTTTCTTGT